GGCATCCTTCAGCATTTCTGCAGGCAATCAGAAGAAAGAAACCTCTGAGCAATATCAGGTGCCTACCAGAACTCTTCTCACACCGGTAAAGAATCTTGAAGTTCTCTCTGAGTTAATCATCGACTTCGAAAGCTTGAAGGATAATGGATTTGACCTAACTGAGGAAATTAGGGCTCAAAAGTGGGAGAGGTATTTCGATAGGTTGGTTGGACCAACATTCCCAGAGCTTGTCAAGGAATTTTGGATTCACGCCAAGATTCATAAACATCTAGTCATCTCTTCTGTCATGGGAAAGAAGATAGTAATTTCTGAAGACCTCATTGCTAGGTTAATCGGTCAAAGTGGTGGTGGAGTCCGTTGTGTGGACATGGCTGATAGATGCCCTGATATAGGTGTGGTAGCCAACTGCATTTTCACTCTTGGTTTTCCCAGCAGCAAAATTAAGGATCTGAAGGATCACTGCAGAGTATGGGCCAAGATTGTTCTTGGATGCTTCAATCACAGGAAACCAACAAGTTCTCCTGATTATATAAACGTGGATCAGCAATTTCTGATCTACTCTATTGATCAGAGGGTGAAGATCAATCTGGCACACTTCCTGTTCAACCATCTCAAGACTAGTGTGAAAGAGACTAGAGAAGAAGAAAGGACCAAAAGAGACTGGATACCGTTTGGAAGGCTCATATCAGATATTCTGACAGAGAATAAGCTGATAGATTATCTGAGCGAAGCTAAAGTGCTGTGCACTATTGAACCAACTATTGGAAAACCGCTGAACGCTAAGAACCTGAAAAAGATGAAGCTGATAGAAAATATTAGGAAGGAACCCAGAGCTACTTCAACTGCTGACATCTCCAGCAGAAGAGTGCCTCTGAGTGATTTCCCAAAATTTTCTGAAATGGAATCCAAACCTGATATGTTTCTCAAGTATCCAGATTCATACAAGGAAGAAGATACAGGTTCAAAGCTGAAGATCAAAGATCTGAGTCAAGTCCAACCAGAAGTGACTCAGAAGAAGACAAAGAAGAGGAAAGCAGAAGGATCATCTCATCAGACTCCAAAGAAAAGAGGTAACTCATCTGCTGCCCCTATTTCAATTTCATCTACTATTCCAACATCTGTTGCTCCTCCTAAAACCTCTCACAGAATATCCATTCCAATCCCTACCATTGATGAAACCATACCAGAAGACCCTTCTGAGACCTTACAACTCAGAAGAACCAGAATCAAAATTCCCAAACAACCAACTGTTTCAACAACACCAGCGCTTGATAGAGTGCTAGCTGATATTGAGCGTGAACATGCTTCTGTTCAACCAATTTCTGAACCACCAAATATTCTTCCTCCACAACCAGAACCACAACCTGAACCAGAAATACAACCAGAACCAGAATCAGAACCACAACAACAACAACCTCTCACAGAAGAACCTCTGATCCCTGAGCAATCAGAGATTCCACCTCCTCAACCAGAAAATAATCCACCTTCGCCACAAACAGAGTTTCACCGCTATGAAACCCCTTCTCCTCATCATTCTGACCCTCACTCATCTCAACCTTCACCGCTGGCAATCCAGTTGCCATGTGGAACCACCATTGTCAGGCCCCAGTTGCCATCTTCAGAGGAATCAACACCTCCAAAAACCCCAACCACTCCAATAGAAATATCTTCCTCTGACTCTGATAACCCTCCTCCAAAACAAACAACCTCTCAGAAAGCCGCTGAAAACCCCAGCAGAACTTTCATTGACTTAACAAGTCTTGAACGTCTTGCTGATCTAAGACACAAAATTGCCATACCCAAACCAAAGCAACCAGATGTTGGCTCTGGTATTTTGAATTTTGAAACAGGTATGCTGCAATGGATTGCTTCTTTGAAGCAAGTCTGTCCTGGGATGATCGACCCAGCTGCTTCTGATCAGCTCTGGTCACAGTTCAGACTATGGGTACGTGCTGAAGCACTCAAGCTGCAGGACGTCAACTATGAGCAGGCTCAACAGAACTTTAGCAAGCTGCTGAAGGAAGTTGAGAATCAGCTGCCTTAAGAAGTTGTGCTCCCTCTGGACAGTGAATCTTGGTCTGAGAAAGAGCAAGCTGCACAGGTGCAACCATCAGAAGAAGACAAGACCCTTCAGGAAGAAAATCCAGCAGAAGATGTAGCTGAAAGTTCTGAGAAGCTTCCTCCTTCTGAAAGTTCTCAAGCTGCCTTGGACAGGCAGGCTCTGGAAGAACTCAGGCTGAATGACTTGCGTCTACAACAGCGGATGGACGACAATGATCAGAAGATGAAAGCAAGAATGGATGTACAGGACAGCAAAATTGACACTGTTGTCACCATGGTTCAGAAGCAGAATGAAACTTCTGAAAAGATTCAAGCAATGCTGGAAAGCCTGTTCTCACGCATGCCCCCTCAACCATAAATCTTTTTCATGCATAATTTTTCATGTTTTCTTCACTTTCTGTTGTGCTGTTTTGACTATGTTTTGTAATGTTCTTTTGCTCTGAACTATTTTAATATAATTTGTTTTTCTGATCTAAATTGTTTTAGCACATCACTAACACTTTTTGATTGCTGACAAAAAGGGGGAGAACAAGAATGATATTTAAAATCAATAACGGCTAACTAGACAGAAATTCTCAAACATTCTAACTCTATTACTTGAAATGTTTTTCTGTTTTGTTTTTAAGTCTACAGGCACAAGGAAGCTCCTGAACACTATGAAGACTAGAAGCTAGAAGCTCTGATCAAAATATAGAAGCTCATGTTGCTCTGATCAAATATGAAGTTCTGATCGTCCTAACACTCTGATCCGAAGCAAAGCTCTGACAGGAAAAGCTCTGAAGCTCTGCTCTCTGATAAGTCAAAGACCTATAATCTGATGCTCAAAGATAGAAAAAGATCTGATCCTGAAGAACACGCATATCAAAGGGAAGTAACAAACTCAGGGGGAGTATCTCTTAACTCTGATTTCTCCTTACTTCTTAACTCTGAAACATTTCCTAGATACCTTTTTCACGTTATTTTTTATTTAAAATATCTAGTTTTTGTCATCATCAAAAAGGGGGAGATTGTTAGAACAATGTTTGAATCTAGTACCCTATATTTTAGTTTTGATGATAACAAAGTGAAAAGATATAGTATTTAAATGTTTCATGATTGAATTATATGCTGCCTAAAATTACTATGCTCTGACTTGCAGATATGCTGATTAAAATAAGCAAGATCACTTTTTCAGCATCAGAATATGATTTCATACACCAGCATCAGAAGTTGCTGAATCAGAACATCAAGATCAGATGATCAACTCAAGTACATGCTGAAGCTTGATGAACAGAACTGCGCGTAAAACACTCTGATACAGAAACAAATAGTTCATCAGCAGCGAAGCAGAATCAGAATGAGCCAAGCCAGAACGTGCATTGAAGAAGCAACGGTACTGTGCATTGAACGCTAATTAATTCCAACGGCATCATTCTAGACAAGATCTGCTCAAAAAGGAAAGCTTGTTATTAGCATTGAATCAAGAATATTGCATTCAACGTTCATCTTCTCAAGTGCTATATAAACAAGGCTTCGAAGATTATAATGGCTAATGTTCTCCAATTCTCTACACGCACAAAGCTGAACAATAATCTTCATCTACCAGTTTTGCTAAACCAACAAACTCTGATACTCCATTAGTGTTTAGCAACCTAGTATTCTAAGCTTCAATTTGTGTATACATCACAGTTGTGATAAAGTTTTGTAGAAAACATTCACACACATTGTTTTATACCTTTGTAAGAAAGTGTTGCCTTGACAAACCGGATTGTGGTTTGAATCAAGAAGGCTTTAGCAGTTGTTAAAGCAGATTTGTATTCAGTTGAATATAGTGAATTAAGACCTCGTTGGAGAGAGGCGAAATCACCTTGACGGGTGGACTGGAGTAGTTTGAGATCAAACGAACCAGGATAAAAATATCTTGTCAATTGCTTTAAGATTCCAGTTTTACAATTCAACCCCCCCTTCTTGTGTTTTTCACCCCTTCAAACCCCTCTCACTCCCAATCACTGCAGTGATATAAAATAACAATCACAATCCCAATGAATGTCTCAAGAAACCAAAAAGGAAAAACACTCTTCCAAAACAAAAATACTTAATTTGCTTAAAGCTTCACTAAGAACAATACTCAAATATTTGTTTAAAAGCTAAGAGGGGAACGATAAGTTGATAAACAAGTAACAATCAGTTAAATCAAATGCATCAAAAGATACACGAGGACATACAAAAACACATGGAGAAACTAAGGAACTCTCAAACCCTAAACACTTATTTTTCACAAGGTTTTACAATAAAACTATGCTTAAAAAACTAGGTCTTGGACGTCTCCTTATATAGACTTCTATAGTTGGGCTTGGACTCTTCAATCAAATCAAATATTCAGCTCTAAATCCCTGCAGTATCTTCTTCACAAAAATAGAAATAAAAAAAAAACAAATCTTTCAAATATTTCCTAAAAAGTCTCAAAGATACTTTTTATGAAACAAATCAAATATGCAATTGTTCCTAAAATTTCTTGATTGCCTACGCCTGTTATGAGTACTAGAAACTCCAGAATCTTATATTTTTCAATAAAATCTTCAAGGAAATAACTCAGATGTGTTGTCATGTGTTTTGTTGCAACATGTTACAATATTTTATAGAACATTTGTCAAATAAGTGTTAGCGGACTCTGTTGTACCAGCTGGTAAAGATGTTATGACATCTTGTTCAACATTAGGTTGCAATACATGTTTTTTCCAAAGAAACATATTTTATAAAATTGTTGTCAACTACTTGTTTTATCAAAATTGTTTCCAACTATAAAGTCACATAATAAGTTATGCTTTGTCAAAGTTGAATTATGAGAAGCATATTTAAGAGTTGCTTCAAAAGACTCCTTAGTGTTATCTTCAACAACATCATTATTCGTGCATGAATACTTAGTAGCCTCTAACCTCAAATCTAGATGATCCAAAATTTTATGAGGATGCTTGAATCCATTTTGACCAATTGTTGCGGTTCCTTATATTATCACCCTAAAAATATAAAAAATTACAAGAGGAAACTAAGAAAATGAAACAAAACTTTTTAAAAAAAACTAAATGAATAAAATATCTCCAAATTTTGTTTCCCTTTATGTTATGGTGAAGTGATTTCCACATAAAGAGGAAAAACAATCACAAAAATGTTTACCTCAATCATCTACCATAAATAATTGAACAATGTTGAATGACTTAATTTTGTTCTCATCTCATTTCTTCTTGTCTTATCACTTGATAATCTACCATAGTCCCGAAAAACGTAATTTCATTTGTTGGAACACGCTAAAAAATTAAGACAATCACATTAGCTAAGCATTTTTTGGCATACAATCAATATAATCAAAATTGGATTAGCTAGGCATTTTCTGGAAAACAATTAAAATATCAAAACTGGATTAGCCAACGATTTTCTGTCATACAATCAAAATAAGTTGTCTAAACTTCTTTTAAAAAACAAGTTAAAAACTTCCATAAAAATACTTCAAAATTGTTGGGGGATATTATTAGGAGAATTGATGCATAGTGTAGGAACAAGCACCTTTGAGAGAGAAATACCACTTATCCACCTAAAACCTTAAGGTGACAGGTGAGTGGGTTCTCCCACTTATATATGCTTAAGTCGTCTCCACATTCCCCACTTACTCACACTTGCTATATTATTCCACTCCCCCTCACTTGCTATATTATTCCACTCCCCCTCAAGTGCCAAAGGCTCTGATACCTTGTTGGGGGAGATTATTAGGAGCATTGATGCATAGTGTACGAACAAGCACCTTTGTGAGAGACACACCACTTCTCCACCTAAAACCTTAAGGTGATAGGTGAGTGGGTTCTCCCACTTATATATGCTTAAGTCTCCGTATTTCTATCCAATGTGAGACTATTTCTCCACTTACTCACACTTGCTATATTATTCCAACACAAATAAGTTGTCTAATCTTGATAAACATTACAATCACAAAATACTTCTAAACTTAAACTCACACTTAACACTTAAGACATGCTAAGTAGATATTGATAGCTTTGTATAGACCTTCATGATTTGGTCTAGCAAACTTTGGAATTTACTATGATAAATAAACAAAATTCGAGAGGCTGCGATTTAGATCATGTACAGTTTTTCCAAGATAACCATCAACCAACTTGTCAACATTTAGCATCAACCTATTGTTTCAACTAGTAATTTGATCTTCCGGGCATAATCATCATAAACCAATGCATCAACAAAATCAAGTAACCATCTATATGTACAAGAGGAAAATGATTGTCATACAATTTTACTTTTTACAACACAAGAGGAAAAAATCGTTACTTGTTTGTTGAAATATATGTAGCAAGAAAATGATAATTTGTACAGTGGGATTGCTTAAATCCTATTGAAACAAAAAAGGATTGCTTAAATCATATTGAAACAAAAAAGGAGTGTGTTATGTTCACCCATGAAAGGCCAGGATAATCAAAGGACAAACATTCAACCATCATTATATACTACAAACCTCAATATCATAATACAGAAAGAGAACAATGTATAAGAGTGCCTCTGCTAGTTTACATGAAGCTCTGTCAAAATGTACATCCAAAGGGATAATTAGAAAATTAAAGAGGGAGCAGAGCACATACCATCCATCTTATATCGTCAGCTGATAACTGCATAGGTGACATAGTCCTATGAAACATATATGAACCAATTTCTTGATTATCTTCCATTACCTACATAAGAGATACACAACTCAAGTTTCTTATATGTATATTATTAATTTGATTTCAAAACCTTATAAAGCATAAAAGAGGTAGATATACTAGGGTTTGACAGTCTTGATATTGGTGAACAATGTCTCCAATTTAGAAATAAGGTTTAAACGAAACTAAATCAAAAATAGTATATATATATTGGCCGAGAGGGATGCGCCCTTTCTGCGATGACTCCTCATTGTTGATAGTAAACTGAATTTTCCACTTTGTAGAAACTTCTCAGCCAGATCTTTGGGTTCAGCCACAATAAACACGTCATTGTGCCAATTAACATAGCAAGCTGCAAAATCTAAAAATTATTCAATTATCCCAATGGAATAAACCTCAAACTAAAAAACAACATCAAAATTTTTATATCTAACATACAATGTAAAATTCTTCATGACAGAATCATATTTGTGAAATTTCATATCTATAACAACAAACCATGACCTGGCCACCATAACTAAGTTGCACCTCAAAACGTCAAACCACTTACTACAACTCGGCTTCATTCCTCCTTCTCCGTCCAAAAAAACACCAACCACACTTATCCACTGCTTCTTTTCCGATCCACAACCATGAACTGTCAGACACCACTTCAAACACCCATTGTGATCTAACAAATTTCCACCATAGTGTAATAATCTCTCCTCCACAAATTTCATTAGAACACTACAAAAAACAACAACAACAAACTCGTAGCCATCCTGAACCCTGCAAAATACACACCTTGCAATTGTGAAGCAACTTTCCATTGCATGTTCCTTTCTCCAATGACGGTGATACGTGCAACGGCGATTCTAGGGTTTTGGAGGAAAGAGACGAGAACAGAGAACAAATGAGATATAAAGGAAAGGGTTGGGATTTGAGAGAGAGAGAGAGAGAATGGAAAGGGTAAAACATGTATCAAAGGGTTGGTCTGAACAATGTGAAATGAGAAAGTAGATTGTAAGTATAATGTATTGAAAAGAGAGAGGGATGTTTTCCCAGTAAATGCATTACTCTTTAGATAATAGTGTAATTTAAATTTAACTGTGAGAAGCAAAGCCACATGTCAAAATAATTTGCTAGGATTGGTCAATTAAAATTTATTTAGTCAATTACAAAAATGGGTAAATTTTAGTGCAAATAGTATTTGATTAGAATGGTATATTATGAAGTTCATATGTAGTTTCCAAGCTTAGTTAGGTAGTTGAAGGGTAATATAGAGCATTTGGTATTTTTTTTATTTAATGGATATATAGTTAATTACACACTCTTGTTGTCCTTGGACTACTTGGAGGTCCTAATCATTTTTTTATTTTCAAACTAGTTACCCCTAGCATGCCAACATTATCATAATCATTTGGATTTGAGACAATCATAAAATCAATAGAATTATCTTAAGAACTTGTACTTTGACTTGGAATTTGTACGTCCCATTATTTAAATATGCTTGGGCATATTGCTTCTTCTAGATCATGATGGAACGAGGGGTCGGGCGCATGCCTCAGATATCAACGGCATTATAAACATTGAGGCTTGGATCATGTAGTTAGGTCGATAATGTGAGATTTATGTGTATCGCGGTTAACAGACATCTGACTCCTTGCGATCTGTCAGGAAAGGGATACATAAAAATATTCCAAAAGACATTGTATATTACAGATTTCCTCTATAAAAGAAAAGAACATTATGAAACTGCTTCTAAATGATTAAGTGGTCATTAGACCAATTAAACTCAGACTCGTGTATAAAAAAAAGAGGAATAACGTAAAATAAGGGGGGTCCATAGGGGCTACCTATGAATAACATACAAAAGAAGTGACACATGAAAATATTTAACCACCAACAATGGTAGCCATTCATCTCTCCGGAAACACATAAGATATCAAATTTATTACACTTTTGTGATCCCTCCTGACTAGCTTCAGGGGATTTAACCAGATAATGTTTTTTACAAAAACATTTGGTGCCCACCGTAGGGCTCGGTAAAACTAACTTGGGCCTAAAGTCCAATAAAAATTCCATGATCCTCCCTACAATCCAATCTCCAGATGCTGGCACTTGTTCTTGATTAAGGAGTAATAGCCATAAACAGAGTTTGCAAATGTCATAATAAATATCTTGATTAAAAACCAAACTCAACCCAAATTATCTATGACTTTTTGGGTTGTTTCAAATAAGGAATAAGGGATGTCTATGGCTTTACTTTAATTTATTTTCCCACTCATATACCCATGCTGATCAGAAGAACGAAACAACGATGCAAGGTTGCTCAAATCAAAATTGGTATGTTCGATCGTTGTCAAGGTCATACTCAAATCACCGGAAGGATCAAAGTTCACCAGTGATTCCTGGGTGAATGATGATACTCTTGTCCAAGGAGATATTATCATGTTGCAAGTTTCCATCTATAGATCTCGACAAACATTTGACCAAACTCGGCGTCTCAAAATCCCTGCTAGGATGCAACCGAAATCACCATGCGTAGGTCCAGCTCTTTTGTCAAAATTGCTTCAACTCGACGATTCAAATCTAGGATCAAACCAATAAAGGATGCATTGGATGGTTCGTAGATAAGTACAGACTCCAACCTATGTTTAGTCCCTAGGATGCAATTGAACAGAGACGAGCAATCGATCACCAGAAACCATACTTTGACCTGTCGGTGTAGTTTCTTCTTGGAATGTGACGAATAGCTCGACGTAGCCCCGTGGCTTAGAGGTCGAACCTTTAAATCCTTGCAAGTAGGAACCCATGTATGGTGACACGTGGGTATCTTCGAGTAGGTGGGTGTACATTACATCGACGAAACTCCCCTCGTCAACCAGGACGCGATGTACATCAAAGTTGGCCATGTTTGCCCTCACCAGCAAAGGAATGCTAGACTTGGGGGCTCCGCTAGGCAGCTCCTCGAGATAGAAGGTGATCGCCTCTAATTTTCCCTTGAATCTTTCAAGGGTTACAGCCTGGATTAGGTCCGCATCCACTAGCTCATTGAGTTTCCTCTTGCTGAATTTACCGAGATGCCAGTGAATCCCCTACAAGATATGACCACAGAGGAGGAAAAATTCCCCCATTTGCTGTGGATAAACAAAGGCTCTTCATCTTCAAGATTTTTGGGGATGTGTATGTCCTCGAGCCTTGAAACACAGTAGGCTTCCTGGAGGGAGCTAGAGTCATCAAATGGTCGGACATCCTCCCTAATTTATTTAACCTTACGGGTGTCCCGATGAGGGGCGTCGTTCCTCTTGTACTGCCTGAGTCTCCCTGCCTTTATGAGAGTCTCGATAGCATCCTTTAGGTGGACAGAGTCTTCGGTCAGGTGACCATGACTCTGGTGGTACTGAAAGTACTTTGTTTTGTCGGCCCCGGGCTTTGAAAGGGTGGGTCGAGGATGCCTGACCCCACTTTCCTTGAACTCTGCATTGGAGCACAATACAAGGATACACTCGCGATAAGCAGTTAGCGGGTGTATTTGGTGAACCTCCCAACTGGTCCTCTTTTCTCGCAGGGGTCATGGGGTTTCTCCTCCCTTCTTTTCTCCCTCATTCACCGAGAAGAGCCTGCGTCATTATGTCGTGGGACGTTAGTTTGTCTGTGGTTCCTTGAATCGTGGGCATTTTTGGCGGCTTCTTTTTCCTCGTAGTCCATGTACGACTGGTATTTTTCGAGGAGTGCATCAAAATACCTGGGGGGCTCAATGCCGGCAGCCTTTCTAAATTCACTTCCTGGGAAGAGTTCCCTCTTGAGCAAGTATCTCTTCATGTGATCAGCGTAGGGACCTGAATGGACTCACAATTGAACCAATCAATGTATTCTCCGAGGGTATCATCGCTCCTCTAGAGGATTGCCTCGAGGGCGGCCTCAGTCTTCGAATTCCAACAAGATGTAGTGAAGCTGCTGATTAATTAGTTCTTTAGATTCCTCCATGAGGTTATCGACTCAAAGGGTAGGCTCTTATACCAGTCCATGGTCATTTTCCTTAGCATCATCGGGAACAATTTGCGTTTAATAGGGCCATCGATGTTGTGATAGTGAAGCATGGCTTCGAAGCCGTCAATATTGTTGATGGGGTCAACAATGTCATCGTATTCCTTCAGAAGGGGAGGTTTATCCATCCCTTTAGGAATAGGGGCTTCCAAGTTTCCCTGGGACAGCGGACCGCAGGGGTCGTCTTCGTCGCTTCTTTATGGGGAGCGAGAGGGGGACCGGTAGTAGTGATGGTCTTTGTGTCAATCTTGGTCCTAAGGAGGGTTCCTTGACCGAGATTTCTTCTCTTTTTCGCCCCTGTTTATTTTTTGTTCATGGGATAATCAATCTTTGCGCGGGGGGAGGGGGATGGGGGTTTGACCATGCTTATTGACAGCTTTGTGCTAGGTCTTCTCCAATAAAGGACCTCGCCCAGTACAATAGGGAGTTGGGCTCTGAGAATCATCTCGTCTGTGTCTCTGCAGGGGAGATCGGGAGCAGTCCTTATTCTGTCGGGGAGAAGGAGTTTGAGAATCAAATCTCTGGTGTTTTCTGGGGGACTGGAGAGTCTGTTTCAACATCATCAGGCACTCACCCTACGCGAAGATCATATAATTCATCTGGTTAATCGCATAAAATAGGGCACTGGTTGTCGCGTCAGTGTTTTCGAGAATGGGGATCTCCTAATATGCGGTCGACTTGTAATTTTATCAATGATGGTGGGCTTCGTCGTGTGGTTACGGGCGGGTGAAAGAAGATGCAGTCATCATGTCCCAAGGGTCTTGCGGGAGCGGAAACATTGTTGTTGTTTCTCTCATTGTTGTTGTTGTCGGCATCGGCGAAGTGAACGTTCTGGTCATTGTTGATAGCTTGGTCGACCATGACAATCAAAAGGTTGAGAGAGTTACTTGGGTCTTGAGTGAAAGACGGGGAAGCTGGTTCCCACATACGGCTCCACTGATCGTACCTGATCATAAGGGATTGTCAAAGCCCATAAGCTTTGAGTTGAGCAGCATTTGAATGTGAAGTGGGGGGTGTAGCAGTAGAAATGTTGAGACTAAGCCATTAGATTGACCTAACTCTCCCAAATCAAATAAAAATCGCCACCGTACTTTATTGTTTCCAGAGGAATGGGAAAAGAGCGAATAACCCAAAAAGAGGGGAAGAGAGTCTAGGTACAGGGGTTGGTTATGAAAAGGGAAGGTATTAGAACCCTAAACATCTATGGTACTCCACAAGAACCTCTTTGAAAATTTGTGTATTTTGGATATAAATGTTGTATACAACAATAGATGGTAGGGATGAAGAAGAGAAATATCTTTTTCCAATTTTGCACCCGCCGCAGTTGTGAACCTTTAGTGCCTATGTACCACCTTTCATGCAATAGGGGATCAGGGTACTCGTAATTCACCTAAAATATTTTAAAACATAAGTGTGTTGGTTAATTTTAAGAGAAGAGACATCATTGTTATATCCGAGTGGAAAACATACTTACTACCCACGATTATGAGAAAGGAGAATTTGAATCATCTCAAAATGGAGGATACAACTTGGATTTTAAAATCAACAAAGCCTCACTCAACACCCAAGTGGAAATTATCTTGCTTCACTACATATCGTAGAAGTATAGTAGCTCACATCACTACAAGAATCGACAAGAGTCTAATCTTTTGAAAAAAAGTTTAAAATTAAAGAGCCAGAGTGGGAAAATGGTTTAAATGAGGTTAATTGACTTTTAGTCTTCTCACAAAAATGTCAAAGTATGATTAAGTTGGTTAAAGTTTGGTCAAGAAAATATTTT